TTTAAATGTTTAATATACTTGATCCAACACTTATCCTTACTCAGTCTCTTTCTTTGTTAAATTAGAATCAACTCACATTCGCAGTCCGAAGCCTGAGTATATTCAGTTCAGTGTGGGACAGGTAGTAGTTCACAAAATATTTGGCTATTCGGGAGTCATTGTTGGATGGGATGTAAAAGCTAAAGCTCCAGAAGAATGGCTGCAAAACAAATATTCTCCAGCGAAACAGGTTTGAATGTATTAAAGTCTTTCTTTATTAATACATACACAGAATAACTCAAGTTAAAAAAAAAACAAAACAACTCAGAAACACTGTTACAGACAAACTTCCTGCTAACCTAATGGAAAATAGAGTCCATGTCAACTGTGCAGCTGAGCGATACCTCCGCTGCTTCTGTGCTGGTGTCCCAGTAGAGCTTTGCTTTTGCACCATTGGTTGGTTTAAGCTTTGCTGGTCAGGGTTGTCTCAAATTAAAATTACTTACTTTTAATACGCACTCTTGTATTTAAAATAGCAGTGTCAACCTATAGTGTTTGAATGGATTTCTCTTGGTGCGTTACTAAAGTTGAGAGGCTGTTAAATCTTTTGTTCCAGCATAGGTGTAATTGGTAACATCTTCATTGCACCTAAACACAAAGGATTACTCGCATTTCTTAATCAGTTTCAGTTAGAAAGCAATGTTTGTGGGGATCTGGACACTTGGAATGTAAATCTATTTAACAACATATTTTTGTTAGAATTCTTGAAGCTTTTGAAATTCTCTAGCTCAAGTCCGTGTTGTATTTGAAAATCAGAGGCTAAATCTTTGTTGACAGCGCTGCTCTGATAATACAGTGCTGCGTAGTCTGTGGGTTGGCTGCTGACATGCTGCTTAAGTGGCAGGAAGGCACTAATCATTAAGTCAAAGAGGACTGAAAATGAGGAAAAAATGGGAAACTCTGCCTGTAGCAGAGAATTCATGTTCAGCTGGAAGCAGACATTCAGTCCTGGCTTGTGCATTTTGTTCCTTCCCCGCTGTAATTTTATCCACCTGCCACTGTTCTTTGGCTTCTGAAACACCTGCATCCTTGCTTTCTTTTCTCCTTTCCTTTTCTCCTCTCAGTGTTGTGGTCACCAATTGAACACCCACAGATTTCCCATCAGGTGTTGCGATTCTTTTTATGTACCTTACATCATTCTGTTCTCCCAGTGACCTTGTGCTCATTTTTATTGTTTTAATTTCAATAGTGATGATGTGGTTTAAATGTGTGTCTTTTGTTTGGTTTTTTTTAACTTGTGTCTGACTTTTCACATTACATGCATCAGCTATGAAAAATGCCATCTGACCTTTACGAGGCAACTGCTAAGCTTGATCCTTGCAAATCCCCTCTAAACATTAGCCAGGCTTTCAGCCTAACTTTTCCTTGCCTTTCTCTGACTTTCAGTTCTTTACTACGTCGTTGAACAGAGGCCACTGCCTGTCACATTCATTGATACTGGTGTTCGTAAACGCCAGGTACCTGTCTGTATTCATCCGTCACTTTTTTGTGTTTAGATGATGGTTTCTTTGGGCAGGAACATTCATGGATAGTAGTGCACATGGTGGCACCCTGGCCCACGATTTGTTTTCATAGGCACTGTAAAAATAATAATAAGCTATGCTTTTCCTTTCTTGGCTGGAAGGTTTTTATATATACACAGAAGTTGCCTTAGCTCTGTCCAGGCTCAGGACCAAGACTGTCAGAGGTGTTCTGTTCTGAATTTGCCTCTTTCTCGCTGGCGTTCTCCGTTGCCACTTGCGAAAGAAGAAGGGTGACTAACAAATTGTTATGGGACCTATATACAAAAAGCAGGGATAGTCTAAGTCATGTTTCTTGAAAGATCTGTGGGGGAAAAGGTTAATTAAAATCTTGACTCTTAAAAACTGTTTCAGATGTGCCAAGAACATGTATTACAGTTTTGATTGCTTTATATTTAATTTTCCAAACTGACGTTGCTAAGATCATAAAAATCTCCCCTTGAGGCTATTTATTTTCCTTCTGTTTTTACAGGATCTAAAAGATACTCCTCACTATCGCATTCTAATTAACAAAGCAAATGGATTTGGCAAATCTACAGCTTACATTCCTGAGGAAGAGATAACAATTATTATGGGATTAGAGGTAGTATTTATTTCTTATTCAGTTGCAACTTGTTTGTTATCCTGTAGGTTTAAAATTTGGCTGACCTCTGGCTTAATAGATACTATCTATTTTGCAAAGTTAGTGAAAACTAATAGAGAAAGCAGATAACCAAATTACTGCTGTCCTTTCAAGTATGTGTTTTTGGAAGGTGATCAATGACTAAACCCAGGTACTGCCTACTTCAGAATATCCAACTGCCTAGTTTTGTCAGTGTTTTAGCAACCTGACTTCTGTTATGTACAGGCTGTTGCAGACATGGACTTTTGGTTTAGGATTTCACTGACCAATCAAAGTTGGATGAGTCATTTAATCTCTTTCTACTTGATCTAGCAAAATATATTGGTTTCTCAATTCCACTCTGAAAAATCTGCATTTCAAACAGCTCCTGCTCAGCTGCTGCCCAGACTGAATAATGTTTCCCTCCTTAACTGCACAACTGTCTGGGAGCCAAAAATCCTGTTTTGTGTATCATCACAGTCTTGGGAGCTTTTGATTTCTAGCTTATGCACGGTGCACCTGATTCAGAGTCAGAGACTCTGATCCAGAAAACAGCCTTCAGGCACGCATGCCACATACAAGAGACTTTTTGCAAGGGATCCAGTGCTATTGTGGATGCATTCCTTTCAATTGTGGACAGTGGCAGTATCTGTATTTAAAACACCAGCAAGCAGCTGAACCATTCCTCTAACAGGAGATGTGTGGTCCAGTCAAACAGGAGATTCAAATGGGCATGTTTTGCCTTTCAGGAGAACCTCCCCAAAGGAATAGTCTAAGTTAGGCTGGCCTGAAGACTCTCCGTGCTCTCTCTTGAAACTGTGCCCCTGCACATAAAGGCCCCCTCTCAATCAAGGGGGCCAAACAGTGTGACACTGTTAGCACACATTTATATTTATATTTATTTTATTACAATTAATTTATATTACAATCAGTGTCTAAAACAGAAAGAAAGGCTGGAACTAAGTCTTCTCCCAAATTTTTATAGGTAGTAGTGTCACACTGTTTGGCCCCGATTGCAATATAAAATGTGTTAGCACACATTTTATATGCCTGAACTTACTTAGGAGCAGGAACTATGCTGTCCCAGATAAGTGTCATCATAACCATTTAAAATGGGGTTCTGACTGCTCATGCAGCTAAAAAAATGCACCTTTCATTATGTCAGTCAGCTGGCTACCTTTGGTTACATTTATAGTCCAGGGGGAGAAACAGATACCTCACCTTAAACATTTACCTTGTGTAAACTACCCTCTAAGATACCAGATTGCTTTATTCACCTGCATTGACAGGCTAATTCTCCCCTCAGATAGTAACAAGCTCACAAAATCAGATATTTGAAAGTTGTCTAGTTGAGATATTAATTACAAATGACGAGTCATGGCTATACCACAAGTTCAGAAGGTCTGTGGATTGCTCTCACTCAGCCTTTCCCACAGCCTAATAGCCAAAGTAATTGCCTGAAGAGTTAAGACTAATGAGAAAATGCTTAGACTTGTCCTAACTCTTTCGCAGGTGACAGTTCTAACCTGCTCACAGTAGGCTTTCTGCCTCATGACCTAGCACGTAACTTGGATTGCCCTTTGTGGATTTGCGTCTTTGAGTTGGACATTGTGGTACCTAAAACCATCAACTTGGTGTGTCTTCACCATTTCCCTGACTGCTTCTTTACTGTTCCTGCTCCCTAACTGGATTAGAGGACTGATCCAGCTGAAAAAAATAACAAATAGCTCTACCAACAAATGGATGGCAACTACTCCAATAAGAAACAGTTCTGATTTTTTTTAAAACATTGATGCCGGTGTAGATCTGGCACATAGTATCTCATGAGATATGTTCAACATTGCAGAGTACTGTGACAGCTTGAGGAAGCCACTGTTTTGATGACATAGATTAGGTTAAGGTACATGGAAAATCCCACTGAAAGTATCTCTGTACATTATGTATTTAAAAACTAATCAAGAGTTTTCAAAAAGTTAACTGTAGTAACTTTAATGATTCTTTTAAGGATCAGTTTGTATTTATTGCTAATTCTGGTGCTTATTCAACTTGAAATATTATTTTCTCAGGTACAGCACCCTGATATGAAAGCCTATTTCAGTGGATACGATGGATCAAAATACATTATGCAGCCATGGTTGAAAAAAATCTATCCTCATGACTGAAGTACTTAAGTGCGTGTACATGTAATCTACATCCAGACAGCATATTTCCTTTGTAAATCTGAGCAAAAAGACACCAGGATAAAACTCCTGTATATTTTTTTCCTATGATGAAATAAAACATTACTAAGCATGTTTTATGTTGGACAATTCATTTCATTAGAAGTGAACACAGTGCATGTTCAGTTTACCATGACTCCAGCCGGGGATTAATTTCCTTCCAAATTTGGGAGGAAATGTTTAAATATAGTCAGGTTTTGGTGAGGAGTACCAAAGGTTTTGGACATGAAAATCTTGCCCTTCTACAGGGGGCAGAGGAAGAAACTAAACAACAAAGAACTGTACTTTCAGAATTAATCATAACCTTACTTTTAGGGGAGAGAGTTAAATAAAAGCAACCGGAACTGAAACATTTCTGGGGAGAACCGTAGTAAGTAGATCCTGCAATAGTTTGACTACTCTCTCTATAACAGCATGCATTGTGCTGCTTTCAAATGATACGTGCAAAGGAAGAGTTTTGAGTGACATAAAACTCTAGTAAATCTAATTTTTTACACCTGGATAGACATGTTAAGAAAACCATCTACTTTGGCTCAGTATATAAATCGCATTCTTAATATCCTCTCTTTTAACTCTACTTGCTAGCATAAGAATAAAGTGAAAAACAACAACAAAACATTCAAGAAAGCATTACAAAATTTATTAAAAAACGTGTAGGACTTGAAAGCTTCTAGAGCAACTTGTTTCTTCTGTTTTCTTTTCCCTTTATCTCAAACACAGCAAAGACTCTACAAGAAGCATACACGGTAGCATTCTGGATTCTTTCCTGCAGAGTCAGTGAATCCGGGGAGTTCAATAGCTGACTGTCTATGTGGCCTCCCCCTTCTTTTGTTTCTTCTTCTCTTATTAATAAAGGTTTTCCCAATGACTGGCCAAACAGTCGACAGACTTCTTGAGCTTTCCGCCGTGTGTTTGCAACAGCAGCAACGCATACTTGACGGCTAAGAGGTAGAAAAAGCAGCACAATAACAAGCAGGACCAACTGGGGTACAAGTATTCCTGCCAAGCATGTTTGTTTTTTTTTTTAAATGCCTCAGCTTTCGTAACTGCATAGATGTAAGGCACGTCACCTTCCCCCCCCTTCTGGGTGATAGTTTAGGAGTTTGAGGGGCAATGTGTGGAGAAAATGTCCTCATCAGCTGTGATCAAGCATTTCTAACACCCGCAGGCATCCGTGGTGTGTGGTGCAGAGCAAGAGTTCAGCCCTTGCTGCAGGTGTTTGGGTGGCCCAGCTGTAAGGCATACCAGCAGCTATCTAACCTCACTGATTTCCAGACTCCTGTGCAGATACCTACGAGATGATACACTTTGGACATCTCCAGAACTATTAGCAGCAGCTAGTTGAGCTTACTTCTTGGAACAGGCACAATTCTTTAAAGAGGCAAAGCCCAAAGTGCGATTAAACTTCCCTCTGCCCCCTCAATAGCAATAGGAGAAGTGGGACTTTGAATAGTTAAGGCCTCAAATATCAAGAGTGCGAGCTTCATGTTTCAATGCTGAGGAAGCACCATACACAGTTCTTTTCAGATCATGTCAGCAGCTAAGAGTAATGGGAATTGGCAAGGGTACTTAGAATTATCAACATCTGGTAATGCACTTGTACCTTCAGGAATAAATACAAATTAAATCTACACTTGCTGATGTAACCAAAGTCAAATTCTGTTGACCTGATATTCACAGTAGATGATACTTCCAATGGAAATCGGTGGGAAAATGCTTTTTATACATTCTGCTTTTGCAGAGGGACATTGTAGAAAGAACAAGCTGTATCTTCTAGGCTGAACAGCATTAATTTATGAGTTATATTCAAAACAAATACTGAAATCTTTAAACATAAATTTTAACAGGTGTGAAGGAAACTATTTGCTACCATTACAAACAGTATAAATTATGTATTAACTATTACCTGAGGCTGTAAAATTTGTAGCATGAGAAAAAAACTTACCGAAGGGTGTCTATGGCTTCTGGTGTATGGTAGAAATGAGGTGGACTGATGGTAACAGAGGTTCCCAACTTTTCAACGAGTAGATTGCAAACATTCTGCATTTTTCCAAAATCGCTGAAGATGATACAGACCTAGGAGTAAACACAGACATCACACAAGTAATTTTTTTCATTTTCCCCCTATGATTCAACACTTGTATTTAGGTGGACTTGGCAGTGCTAGGTTAATGGTTGGACGCGATCTTAGTCTGGAGAAGACTGAGAAGGGATCTTATCAATGCTTATAAACAAAGGGGCTAGACTCTTCTCGACGGTGCCCAGCAACAGGACAAGGGGCAATGGGCACAAACTGGAAAACAGGAAGTTCCATGAGAAAAAACTTATTTACTCTGAGGGTGACCGAGCACTGGAACAGATTTCCCAGAGAGGTTGTTGAGTCTCTGTCTCTGGAGGTATTCAAACACCACCTGGATGCGAGCCTGTGCAACCTGCAGAGGGGGTTGCACTAGATGATCTCCAGAGGTCCCTTCCAACCTCTACCATTCTGTGATTCTGTAAATCTTAAAGGTCCTTTTCAACCTAAATGATTCTATGATCAGTATAAAGCCAGGTAAGTACAAACTAACTGAACATACTAGTCCTGTATATAACTCCAACATTTATTTACTCAGTACACTTTTATATAGCCCTAGAGACCAGGATTAGGTGTGCAATAGAAAGAAGTTCATACAATGGTTTAAAAGTGAGGATTAAAAAATGCTCTTTTGTGAGGAAGTCCAGCATTCTTGGTATGTAGACAATTTGAAGAATGAACGTGCTCTTTGGGACACATGACTAGATGCATCCTGGTTCTTCCCTTTTTAGATTACTAAATGTTAATTATGCAGAAGCCCAAGCAAAATTATGTGGAGAACATTGTGCAGGAAGAACAATTACATTTCAATTCCAAGCATTAGGTTCAAGAAACCTACACTATGAGGCTAAACTAAGCCTAGCTGAGACCAGCTTGCAGCGGGCTCAAAACCCTGCGTGGGCTGAAGAGAGTCAGTCCACTGCTTACAGAGAACTGGGCACTTCAGACTTAGATTAGAAACAATTTAAACATCTAGTTTTCTATGGCTTTGGCAAGAAGAAGTACTAAATACACATGCATCACGAATTCAGGTGCCTTCCCAAGTGCTACAAAGCAGGCATCACTATCAGCCCTGGATCCAGAGCCCTACAGCCTTCCTTGTGGGGATGTGCAAGTCAGGAGCCAGTAGCTTTCTGTAGCAGAGCACAGTCACCAGGAGTGAAGCAATGATGCCGAGCTGCTACAGCATTCAGAAATCATAAATCCTGGGTCCCAATCTCTTTTTTTTAGAAGAACTAAATCCTCGTCTTCACTTCCCAATACAGTACTCTCACTACCAAGTTAGGCTCACCTTCTCTCATATCCCTGATTCTTCTCTTTTTTTTTTTTTTTTTGCACAGTAATGCAGCTTTAACGGGGGGAAGAAAAAAAAATGTGGCAAAGACAATTCCACTGCCAACCCCTGTGACGCAGAGTCACCCCTGTGATTGCTGCAGTCCATGCAGCAATCTATCCTAGTGAAGGTGTATGGCACAGAAATACAAGTTATGGCATGTCAGCCACACTGCAGTAACTGCCTGTGTGCATACCATAGGTTTACCTTGTGGTAAATGAGATAATTCAAGGAAGTTGAATCTCTCAGTGAGAGAGGAGGGGGCTACTTCATATACAGGGTAAGATAAAAAATGTATATTGACAATTATCACAAAGTAATTAATGCACATGTCTAGTTACCCTTGGTAGCCTCCTAGTGCAGTACATATTCCTCAAGCTGGCTTGAATCTTTGCACTGGCTTAGTAGCTCTTCACACAGCTGAGCCAAAGCTGGGCTTAGGGCCTTGAGAACTGACCAACATGGAGTGGCAGGGCAATTCCATCTTCTGCAAGGACAAAGGGTCACGCCTGTTGCACAAAACTGCACCACATCTGCATCTTCATCTCAGCTGCACACCCTTTATCTGTAACTTGGACACTTGGAAGGTGCAGCATCAATTTGAACAAAGACTGAAGATGAGACTAAACCTAGATTTCTTTCTTCAGTGGGAGTTCTTGCCATATATAAAAAGCATACATCCTCTTGTGCTGTTTTGCCAGAAAAATATCACAGTTGTATTTAGTGGAAAGTCGAAAGTCTCACTATGAGGACCGTCACCGTGTTTTCCAGATTGCTATCAGCGCTTACAAGAT